ATATCTCTCGGTCGATCGAAAAAATATTTATAGCTTGAGATGTAATATATATTATAGCTCAGTGTAAACGGTTCCATATGAAATGTATGGTGAGCGATATTAATTTATATCTCGAGGTGTAATATACAGGTTTTTAATTTACTGAAGACCTTTTGGGAATATATTATTTACATCATAACAACAACATCTGTAAGAAAAGAAATTATATTTCTTCAATTTTTATTTTCATACAAAATTAAAAATATTTTAATAGAACCTTCTAAACGGAAATAGTCCTAAATATCAAAATAAAGCGCGTGGCGGGGTAGGGGTGGAGGGGTGTAGGAGGCGGCGCGTGCTAATTTGAACTTGACCTAATTATCTGTGTCGTCAGTCGGTCAGTCGCCTTTGGTGCGCCCGCGACATTTCTCCTTCCGTTGTGAGATTAATATTGCGAACGTTATGCGTTGTTACAATGGCATACCGATACTCAAATATTGAGTATACCGAAATGGTGCGAATTTTAGCAATTTGCAATGATAACGTTAGTGAAGCCTGCCGTGAATATTCAAGGCGATTTCCCAACTCACGTGCACCAACCTACGCTACGATGCTAGGTACTACACAGCGATTGCGAGATTACGGGCAATTCCAGCCTGTATCAATCGATCGTGGTCGTCCACCTCGGCTCACAGTACGTGAGCAGGAAGACATACTGCAGTTTTTTGGACAAAATCCAGCAGCGAGCACTTATGAGGCAGCCCGACAGTTCAATGTGTCACAGTACTACGCCTGGAGTGTCATACACAATGAATGGAAGTACCCTTTCCACTTGCATCGTGTTCATGAACTCAGCGAAGCTGACAAACCAGCGCGAGTTACATTTTGTAACTGGTTACTAGCTGTTGAACGAGCCAACATTTTATGGACTGATGAAGCAACATTTGGCAGAATAGGACTATTTAATTCGCACAATGAACACTTGTGGTGCTATGAAAATCCACATGAACCTAGACCGCATAGCTTTCAACACCGGTTTAGTGTCAATGTGTGGGCAGGCGTTATTAATACGTTACTGGGCCCGGTCTTCACAGAAAGATTATACGGTGAAAGCTATCATAGTTTTCTCACCGACACGCTGCCAGAGTTGTTAGAGGGCATACCACTTGCATCTCTACGCAATATGTATTACCAACTTGACGGGGCGCCGGCACACTATGCTCGCCAAGTTAAGGATTATTTAAACAGAGAATACCCTGGTCGCTGGTTCGGTCGTGACGGGCCTTGTGCATGGCCTCCCAGATCGCCAGATATCACACCAATGGATTTTTTTTTTATAGGATAGGGTGACAAACGAGCACACAGTCCACCTGATGGTAAGTGGTTACTGTGACCGATAGACATCTACATCTATCCTCAATAAAGACTCAAGATGCAGATGCGTTGTCACCCGTGAGGACCAAGATGGAATGCCTCTTTGCCAGTAAAAAGGGTCTCCGGTTCTCTACACTCACCATACGAAACACAGCAGCATTAAGCTGCTATTTTACACTGGTTTTCAGTGAGAGCGTGGTCCTTCCACGGTCGAGCCGACCCATTCGTGTTACAACAATACTACTAATATAGCTGCAGCATGGCTCTACCACGTATTATTTGTGGGGGCATGTAAAGACATAAGTGTATACTGGTCGTGCATTCGAAACCCGCGACATGTTGAAAGAAAATATAATTTGGGCATTTGATCAAATCAAAATGAATCATCAAGTATTATCTCGTGTCGGTGAACAGTTAAGTTTTAGGTGTCAATTATGCATAGAATGTGGAGGTGATTATTTGGAACGCTATGTGCGTGATACTCACCGCCATCCGCGGACAAGTACCTAGGTAAGTCTAATTTTTAAATTTGTATTTTAATATTTTTATTGAACCATTATACTTTAATATCTTTATTCAATTACTGTTAATTTGTATTTATCATTATAAATATTTTATTGTAATATTTGTAATTATTTTAACCTGCATCCATTTTTTAAATACAACTTACATTAAATAAAAAAATACTTAATAATACTCATTTAATTTGCACGTGCTGCAAACATCGATCACCAAATCGATGCCTGCAAACCGAAAAGGGCAGGCGGCGCCTTTGATGACGGTGACACCTGTGTCGACTTTATAATATATCGTTGGCTTGGCCTTGGGCCGCCGCATGTGCGACGTTGAGGCGTTGCCTCTTGGATGCAGGCAGAGTTACTAGCAAACAGTATTCGTAAAAAAACTACCTAAATGTCTATTAATTCTTAAAGAAATTAATAAAAGAATCAAATAGTTCATCAAATGGTTTTATGCAAAATAAAGAAGTATATGTAAAGTCATTTAAAGTGGCGCCCTGATGCAATAGGCACAGTGATGAATGGTTTAGTAGGCACTCGCAACTCAATCAGCTGCGCGGGCGTCAACCGGCCCGGTCATTCTTACTTATTATAAATTTTAATATTTGTGGTTTTTTTTGAATGTCATTTGCTCATTTGATTATGTTTAATGATTTCAACACAATGTGTGATACTGATATCAAGTGTAAAATAAATAAGGCATTTTTTTTGAGGTACTACAAAATACAGACTTAAAAGGAGTCAGACATGACAACAAAACCTTAAAAGTAGTTTTTTCGTAAATGTATTATATTCTGTGAAGAGTGATCTCGCTAAAATTGTTTGTAATGATGTAACCAATATATTCCCAAAAGGTCTTTGGTAAATTAAAAATGACCCTGTATATTATATTATATATATCCCATAGTGAAAAGCGGGCTTAATAAAGAAAGCCTTTATTTAAAAAAAAAAATTGTTATAATTGTTATATACAGTCTTACTCCCTGTGGTATTATGCCAAAAACGCATGAATTTGGAGTACATATATTAAAAAAAAAACTGGCAGACGTATTTTAAATAAAGTTGGGCGTTATAACATACAACAGTTAATATATTTCATTATATATTTATAATCTTACAACACATTAGAATAATGAACCATTGACTGTTATAATATATTCATTGTCGTTAGAAAGCGCCATCTAACAAAAGTAACAGTAACAATTATCATTTGTGATTTGCGTGTGCGCTAGCTATGAAAATATAATATATTATAGTTTACGGTCTAACCGTCGGATGAGACGCGGCGCCTCTATCGGAGCATACTACATTCATTGTACCACAAGGATTGCGTATGGTTTACACAAATTTATAATCTAAAACAATATTATAAGAATTTATTTTACTAACACTAAAGTATAACGATAAACAAATATATTTGCTTGTATTTCGTTCATTGCTAGCTGTTGTGCCTGTTGTTTAATTTTTTGGCTGTTATAATATATTATTGTTCAGTTAGCTGTCTAGCTGAGATGACAATGACACTGTTATCTGTTATAGACATAATGTTTTGATAGTACTCGTAGGTCCTCCATATTACGTGACGAAGCTATTGTTTTGTTTGTTTTTCGTTAAGTTTTATACCTAAAGTAATTTTAAATATTTAGTGTAAGGTATAATTTAGTGTTTTGCATCGATCACTAATAAAAAACTAGATGCACAATCCCATACAAAAGTTCTCTAAAACTGTCGCCAAATGTTTTGACGTAATTCTAGTTGATATAAAAATACATTAATGTAAATTCAACCTTAAGTGAAATGCCTAAAGTTGTATTGACAAAGCAACGTACAAAAAGCAATAAAATTTTACGGCCGAGACTCGTCGCTTGGACAAGGAGAGTGGAGTCGAACTGTACAATATTTTTTGTTACTATAATTTTAATTTTACAATTTTTTTAAACTTGTTTTAAGTAATGGGCCTACTTAATAAAGCATATTCTATTTTATTCTATGGTGTGTAATAGTTATATTATTACCTGAATGTAAATATGCTTTTGGATAGGGCACCACATTCATTTAGTAATGAAAGTAATTGAAACAGTCATAATTATTTATTTATTCTTTATTTTGTGTGAAAAATTTAAAGATATTGCTTGATAAGCAAGTTAAATCTAAATATAATAGTTACTAAATATAAAATAATACAGAAAGTTCTTGCAAAATCTAAGAATATTACTGTACAAATTTTGACGTAATGTTCATATTTACAGATATTTAAAAAAAAAACGGATAAGACTGAATAATCATAATGATTTCTTACATTTACGCATTCACTATACATTTAAATGAAACTAGTTTTACGGATTTTATCGCGTATATTAACTTATTTTATATTCCCGACGTTTCAAGTACTATAATATTTAGAGAAACAGTAAAGAACTCTCATTAAACAAAAAAATAAAACAATCATACTTTAATAATAAAAAATAAAAAAAACAATAGCGTTTCTACAAATGGAACAGAATCAACGCATATACCTCGAACAATGACGACTTATTTTATTAGGACTTAATTTAAAAAATACTTTTACCTTAATTTCTTGACATAATATCAGTATTTACAATACAGTTATAACAATTAAATAATGTTAATATTAATACTTACCGAAAATATGAAATTCCATCCTTTTTTAGCGTCCTGGATGTGTTATTTTTACACTTTTTAAACGATCACTGAGGCATGTTTACCGTCGGAGCATTCAAATGCTACTAGATTAAAAGTGCACCCATATGTTCGAGTGGGTGCACATTCGGTTATGCCATTTTTTGTCACTGATTGTGTATCTAGTTTTTTATTAGTGATCGATGGTGTTTTGTTTGTTTTTCGTTAAGTTTTATACCTAAAGTAATTGTAAATATTTAGTGATAGGATTTTGCGTGTTTTATATAAAAGTGCATAATAATGTCACGCCAGCGTAGCGCAGCCGTTTGGAGCTATTTTATAGTCCAAAGTATGGACGAAAAAAAAGCAGTGTGCAATTATTGCAAAAAAACTTTATCTTTCAAAAGTACAATTACAAATTTAAAGCTTCACCTTAAGCAAAGACTCGTAGGAGTGTATGAACAGTTTTGCCGTTCGGAATCTGAAAGGATGTCATCTGGTAATTTAAATAAGAATATAATTTTGCATGGTGATGAAACTAGCATACATGGTGGCGGTAGGACTCATGGTGACGAAAATCTTCCCTCAGTGCCAACAACCATTTCAGTGCACTCAACAACAACCTCTTTACCTACCCCCTCGACCTCTTCATCTTCGGTGGCGGTAGCAGTAACTAATCAACATGCCAAATCGGTATCAAATGATGGTCCACCGACGAAAACTCAAAGAATGATGTCCTCGTATATACCAAGGAAACTCGGGTCTAATGAGAAATCTCATATAGATAATTGCCTATTGAAAATGATAACTAAAGACTTTCAGCCCTTAGACATTGTAAACGACGAAGGATTCCGGGCATATAGCCAAGCGCTGAATCGGAATTATGAGATTCCCAGTCGTAGAGCCCTATCCAATAGATTATTAGCAGCTGAATATGAAAACAAGCTATGTGAAATAAAAAATAAACTAAAAAATTTCTGTGAAACTATCTGCTTGACCGTAGATTGCTGGACGTCAAGAAGCATGGACGCTTACATAGCTGTTACTGGCCACTTTATCCATACCGAAACATTGGAGTTTATATCAGTGTTAATACAGTGCAGTGCTCTAGGAGGATCTCATACCAGTGCAAATATATCAGAAGAATTAAAGAAGATAACTGAGTCGTGGGACATAAAAGAAAAAGTAAACTTCTTTGTCACTGACAATGCTAGCAATATGGTGAACGCTGCGAACGAACTACAGTGGGATCATTTTGGATGTTACGTTCATAAGTTGAACCTTATAGTCCAAGAAGGTTTAAATTTACCTGAAATAGCATCCACAATAACGAAGGTACAAAAAGTTGTGGCTCATTTTAAACGAAGTTCACAAGCGAAGGAAAAACTGTTGAAATACCAAATAAATGCACAGAATGTTCCTCAAGGAAGTGCCAAAACGGTGAAGATATCGGTACCTACTCGTTGGAACTCCGTTTATTTAATATTACAACGTTTCATCGACCTACAGGAGGCGCTAAGGGCTACGATCCCCAATTTAACTGCCAATCTCCCTATAATACCACTGGAAGAATGGAAATGCATTGAACAACTTTTAGATGTTTTAAAACCCTTTTATGAAGTCACAGTGATGATGAGTGCTGAAAAATATCTTACTGCTAGTAAAGCACTTGTTGTCACACAGGGCTTAATGACCATATACGACGTTCTCTCAGGCAAAGAATTTTATGTACCGGTAAAAAAATTGATCGCTACAATGAAGACGAGTCTGAGTTCCCGCTTTAAGGGTATCGAACACAATCAAGCTATTGGATTATGCACCTATTTGGATCCTCGCTTCAAACAGCATGCATTTAAGGACAAGGATGCTTTAGCCACCATAAAATGTGTTTTAATCGACAAAGCTACAGAACTTGCTGAAGACGATAATGATGTGGGGAAACCAGATGTCCAGAACTTGCAAGTGGAAGAAGGCTCCCTCTCTATTTGGCTCGAATTTGACAAAAAGGTCCAAGCTATAAAAAGGCCTAAATGCGCTAGTACTAAGGCAATGGAAGAAATAGACATGTACACGAAAGAAGGCATAATTACCCGTGCAGATTGCCCTTTAAATTGGTGGCGAGAACGTAAAGCCTTGTACCCAACTCTGTACTTATTGTTCATCAAATCCTGCAATATCGTAGTTACTTCTGTGCCATGTGAGAGAGCTTTTTCGAAAAGTGGAAATTTAATATCGGATAGACGCACAAGGCTTACTTCATCGAAAGTAAGCCAAATAATGTTTTTAAAGAGTAACTAAAAAAATATGTAAATAATTGTAAATTACTAAAATTTTGACCACAGTGTAAATAATGTAAATATTTAAACAAAATGTATTTAACATCAATGGACTTCTAACTACGCCTGAATTAGTTATTTTTTTCTTTAAATGTTTGAAAATATGAGTACATAATTATACAGTTAAACTTATATTCAGACAGTCCTAAGCCTGTAAAAAGTAGGAAGGGAAGTTCATTGAACTTAACATACAAATTTTAAATTATTTTCTTTTAAAACATGGAACACTCAAATGATGCTAATACGACTTAAAAGCATTTTTTAGTCTTCTCTCGGTTCTTCGTAATCTAATTGATATTATAACATCCATCATAATCATATTTATAATAGTTATAACAACATACTACAAAACGCTAACACAGCCGACAACTGAACTGAACTAACCCCGTGTACAATGCATGAAGTTATAGATAAAGATGGAGGACACACTTGGAACAACAGCTTGAGTCAAATACCTACGTATCTTTATCTCACTCTCTGTGGTCTGACTTCTCTTTTTAGTGTGGAACACAATATTGCTATGTTTTTATTTGAATCTCCCGGTAAATTCTTAGAAATAATTTCCACACTAACTAAATCAGAAGTTAAGCTTTGTAAAATAATATACCAACAAATAAATAGTTGATCTACGATTAGTTACATTAAAAATTCCAAAATTGAAGGTCTCGTATGCATTATTGGGTTCACGAATCAGTGAATTACAATCCCATTTCCTAAGGATTCGGTAATATGGCAACATTAGCCCTATATGTCAACATAAATTAGACAAATATGGCGGTTGTTTACTTAGCAGTTCACAGCGTCGTTTGAGATATTTAAAGTTAATTATTGTTATAATTCAAGAAATGGTGCAAACTTGTGTAGTACGTGGTTGCGACAGTAGTTGGTGTCCAGGAGGTGATATAAGATTTCACACGTAAGTGTTTAAATAGTGACTTCTGACATTGAATACTTGTAAACATACCTTCTGTATTTTCACTTAATTTTTTTCTGAAACGTTTGATCAGTGTTTTAAACATATTAATAAGTTATAACTTTGTAAAAATCAAATAGTTTTACATTGAATTTAATTAAGTTTGAACAATTTTATTGTTTTTGTTTAAAAGAAATCGCACTGAAGTAGTGTGACCATATTGATGATGTATCTGAGACTTTCCGTGTGACCTTAACTAATTATATGTACATGTTTCTTATTATGTTACCGGAAATGCATGAAATTTAGTAATTATGTACACTTCCTATATATTCTATATATCATCATCATTCTCTAAACCATTTCCCATTATCTGGGGTCGGCGCAGTAAATCTTTTTGTTCCATTCCTCTCTATCAGCCGTCATTTCCATACTTACTCCTTTCATTCTCATATCACTCTTCACACAATCGATCCATCTTTTATTCGGCCTTCCTCTGCCCGTGTGTCCCTCCACATATATATATATATGTGGAGGGACACACGGTCATTCGTCATTATATATTCTATATAATGACGAATTTATTTAGGTTTTGTTTCTCATTATTCTGATACTTTAATAACGTTTATAATAATTATGTATTTAAAAATGTAGTAGTTTAGATGTATGATATAAAGCAACATTTTGTAAAATATGTTATTATTTGCAAACAATAAGTGCATTACATGAAGAGTCTATTGTGCAAATAGCTGCTCTGGCTGTACCAAGCACTAGTTCTGGCATTTATGAAAGTAGTTCTGCACTTAAGGAAACAGAAGTGAAATGTACTGGCTGTAATATTGAAGACCAAACTAGTAAAAAACAATGTCGAAAAATTCTTGAAAATTAATTTATCTTAACAAATTACCTGTAAGTGTCCTTTTCCTTTATTACTAAATACATACCTTTTAAATACAAATTATTTATTATGACTTTAATATTACATTACATAATGTATTATATAGCTTAAAAAACATACATATTTAAACTCTTTAGTGCCAATCGCAGTGTGGTAACCGTTACTACGACACTAAGCATAAAGCTTCTTGTTTGATGCTTCATTTATGCGTGCTCATGAAGGCGCGGGTTAAACTATAGACATCCGGTACTCGCCTACGAGGTTGGGAGGGGGAGGGGGAGGGGGGGTCAGGGGAAGCCCCCCTACCCTTCCCCGCTTGCGGAAATGTATAGTTTATGAGTAATAATTTCTTTTGTAAAATCATAACCTCACTTTTTTACATAGGAATATTGACACAAAGTTACTTCTGTAACGGCTTCGGCGCTACGGCTTTAAAAAACACTCTAGGGGTAGGGCAGACAAGACTACGTGGAGTCGGGGTGTTCTGAGTCAGTTTTAGTACAAATTCGATCTATCTTATCTAAAGTCAGGTTTCCCTAAACTCTGCTATGATAGTGGTAAATGAAACAATGTAATTTTAATTATTTAATTTATTTTATACACATGCTTTATTGCTCGCATAATTTCTTTGAATGGATCCTTTTTAAACTTTTCTACATTTCGTCTCCACAAATACTCTACTATCACGTCTGTAAAACTTTGAGAATTATTATAATTTTGTTTTCTAAAAAACCTCTTCACTGCTCTCCACTGCGACTCAATTCGTTGTGTATGAGTCCCATCTTCAGCCACAAATGGATTGTCTGGGTCTGAGTGGTTAACTTTTTTATGTGTGTACCAGTGTTCTGCCAAACAATCATATGCCCGCCAACAATCAGTATGAATTGTGGTACCCGCCGCCACATGTCTCTGTATAAGCGGCACCAGTACCTCAGCAGACCTAATATTGTCCGGGCACACCTCTAGTCTGAGATCCTCAGACCCATCTTCTATCATACCGAGCACCCAGTGGCCTTCGATGTGACGTCCTATAACAAATAAAATTAATATTAGACATTTAGTATGACAAAAAAAGGTGTAAACATAATCATACTTATATTTACCTTTATTGTATTTTCGTTTTCCAAATTTGCTCTCATCAATTTGTACAATTTTACCAGGGCCACCAATCTTTCCAGTAAACTGATTCTGTTTCTCGAGGTAGTAAATAACAACTACTTCTCTGCAGTAATTGTACCAATCACATATTGTATTTGGGCTTAAACATTGTTGTCTCTGTCGTTTATATGGGTCTTCATGGATTGTTTGATTATAAGACCATCCTTGTGAATATACATATATGAGGTAATATATGTGGGGCATATCAAGAGTTACATTTTCAAAAAAAGTCCCTTGTCGTCGTGAGATTTTAACTCCACTGCCTCCAGCTTTCCCCTTACAGGATGCTTTAGCACATATGAAAGTACCAAGCGCTTTGCAGCCACTTGAGTATGAAATTTTCATATTAGTTTTATGTTTGCCGCACTTTCGTTCCTTTAGGACCAGCCCTTCATCCTCACTATATCGAACACATTGCTCGTTCGTTCCAAGTTCACGCACAATATCCGACAGATTGCACATGAACATAATCTCAGACACGTATAGTCGACGCTTCACATAGTCGCCGTCGTCAGAGAAGTCTTCGTCGATGTGTGATGGTTCCTCGAGTAAAGCGTCAGATGCCGAAGAAGGCCCCGCTACGGGTTCGTAATCGCTCATTCTCAGGTCCGGTAAGCAAGCCAAAGTCCAAAGTAATGCAATCCAATCAAAACCAGAAACAAAGCCAAGGTCAAACGTAAGGGCAATCAAAGAAGTCCAAAAACAGAGCAGAAGTCGTCGAAAAAACAGGGAAAACACAGCACTAAGCACAAAAAAGAACATTCGCGTGACTACTAGAGAAACGGAATGACAATTTACATTTGACATCATAGATAATATATTATATTTGACATTTACGGTTGCCGACAACATGGCCGTCAACAACCGTTCCGATTCACACTTTTTGCATCTGTTTTTGACATCTAATCTCATAACACTATACAAAATTGTCATATTTGCGTTTCGTTATACGGAATTTTTATTGAAATTTATTTTTGTCATAATTAATTAAAAACGCATTTCCGACATTCAAAAACAGTTTAAAATGTTCATGCTTAACCCTGACAAGCCTCCTAAGTTGAAAACATAACTAAAATCAAGTACCGGATATCTATAGCCAACCCAAGGCGCGCTCCGGTGTATTATGTGTTACCTATTAAGTGATGTAAATTTGTACTGACATTATGATGTAGAAGAGTTATTTGTTTCTTTTTTTTTGTTAGAGTTCTCTAATCTCTGGAACTATACCAGTCTGACTTGAAAATATTTTTTTGCATTTTTAAAACCTATTCTTCAGGAAGTCTATCTAACATCACGCTACGACCCTTATCAATGGAGCAATACGATGTACGATGCTAAAAATACTGATTTCATAAAGTTTTCTTGTTTTCTTAGGTCAGCAGTGAATACGACGATCCCGCGAAGATTGATAGGGGCGTGCAAGTGAAAATAAAGTGTACTAAAGAAGAAATACTTGAGACGAAAACTAAGATTCTTAAGCAAAAAGTGGCGCGCCAAACTAAAAAATTCAGGATAGGTCTTCTTTAATGGACACTATGAAAAAGTATACGGGTCAGTCAGAAATTGAAAATATTATTCAAGGGCGCTTTGCTTCATATCTGTAAGGACTTCAAAAAGCCACAGAGTAATCCACATGGTGTGAAAAATTCAATAAATAATTTTAATATGGAAAGTGTTTTTATTTATTTTTTTAAGCTTTTTAAGAAACTATGTAGTGGTGGTGTGAGAATATCCACTACCCCATATCGTTCCGAGGGTGTTGTAAGAGGTGTCAGAGGGAAAATGAAACAGGAAATGGGCAGCGGCATCTTCCTAATAACAACTCAAAATATTAATATATTATCGTTCCTATTATAGTACATATGTTACTAGAAATCTATGAAATCCGTTATTATATAGAATTCCTAGGAATTGTAGATAATTCTTAAAATGAACTGGATGTGTGGAATATAGTATTATACACATTTCAGCTCAGAGCAGCCTGATTCGGATGGGTTAGGTCAGAAGGCTAAGGCAGGAGCTCCGCTACGCTGCTTTAGTCCTCGTGATATTTTTTTTAATAATTGTCCAGAAATAGATTTAGTCTGTCTGAACAATAAATCAGGTATATTTTGCCCAATTCATTGATAACCCGGGGTTATAATAAATTTTAATTTTATATTTCGTTGGTACCGTTTAGGAATTGTATACAATAACCAGAAAATACATTATCGAAATGGTAGTTATAAAATATTCTCTGATATATTTATTTTCCACCTTTTTCAAATAGGCTCGGCATTATATGGGTTGTGACGGAAATGCGTGGTCATATTTTAATACCGGTTCTGCCTATGGAAATGAAAACCTTTCTTCATAAAACTAGTCAATTCCCAAAAAAAAATGGACAAAAATATATAATCTGTATAGGCTAGGTCTTAGTAGTAAACAGAGATATAGATATTTATAAATAAAACACTTAATGTAACTCAACTACTTATAGCGATATCCTGGGAAAAATAAAATAAAGGTTAGCTACTTAGAAAGGGAGGGTCTGCCCACAGAGAGCGAGATAGTAATACATAGGTTAAGTTTCAAGTAGGTATTCGGAGTGTGGTCTCCATCTTTATCTATAACTTCATTGTACAATGTAATATTTGAAAATGTTATAATATATTATAACAGTTTAAAACAACAGTTAGAAAAATATATTACAGCATCTTAACGAATTAGGAAAATATAACAGTTTCGCCCACCTTTAATTTTAAATAGCACATCACAAAAATATTAATTATTGAAACTGGGCCCATGTAGTTTAGAAATAAAAAATAGTTAAAGATCGTTCGCCTTATAACTTCGATATTTTTCGAGAGTCGAGAGTTGGTTTGAGTTGACACCTGACAGCCTGACACTGACACTTGACATATTTTCATAGCATACTTTAGTTATATAGATTTCTGTCTTGTTTCACTTTTCGCCTTCTGTTGTTTCTATATTGAATAAACAATAAAAAAAGGTAGGTATTTCACTTTTTAGTTTCAATTAAGTGTAACGCGATTATGAAAAATATGCCAATAATGGACTTTGGATACATAGTTTTGTTTTTAGCGTCGAAGTGTTTACGTAATTCATAACCTAATATCTTATTTATGTAAGTTTAAAATTATTATATGTTTTAAGGTTTATAATGTCAATCTCACCATTTTTTCGATCTCCTTTTACGGATATAACTGGTGGTATGATATCCCATCAAATGTTGGGACGATGTCAAAAGGAAGAAGCTCGCTATATGGACTGCTTGGAAGCTTACGGCTTGGACAGAGGCCGAGTCAAATGTGCACATTTATTTGATGATTTTCACGAATGCCAGACTAAGACCAAACAATTTAAAAGATTTATGGTTTGTAATTTCTTTTCTTTACACAATATTTTTATTGTTCAATGCTGAATTATCTGCTGACTGCTTGTTTATCTGTCTGCTAGTCATTTAAGCCTCGGTCATACATAGCGAATACTCGCTGTAATTAGGCACTCGCAGTGAGAATTTGCTATGTGTGACAGGCTATTCGCCGCGATTAGATTCATTCGCTGCTAGTTGAATTTGCTGCAAATTGAATTGAACATGTTCAATTTTACTCTCTGTAAATGAGACTCGCTGCGAGAATTCGCCGTGTGTGACAGGGTACTCGCTGCGAATAGCCATTCCGCCTTAGACTACACGCCTGTGCATAGGTCGTTTCGTTGCTGCATGATATGTGTGTGTTGGTCAATCAAATGAGTTAACCAATAAACAATTATCTAAATGGGGAAATTACAATTTAATCAGTTTCTTGGGTGTGTATAGAAAAAATGGGGAGCTGTTTGACACAAATAACAGTAATTTAAAAAGACACAAAGGCAGACGCCTTCTATGTTTAACTAATTAAGTGAGTTGGGATTTGAAATAGCAAACCAAGAGCAATTGAAAAGAAAATTTAAAAATATAAAAGATACATATTATAGATGATTCTAGTGTAGTACTCACTGTGTGTGACAGGCAGGCAGCAAATTGTTGCTGCAAGTAATATTTGCAGCGAATACACACTCGCAGCAAATATTCGCTGTGTGACCTAAGCTTTAGAATTTTCTTTGAGTATATACTTAGATAGTTGAGGCGTCAGTAGCCAAATGGCAGAGTGCAGACCGCAAACTCGGAAAGGTTGTGGGTTCGTCCACCATTTAACTACTGTTGTGAACCACTTCTAACACAAGCGTTTTAAGCTTACCAGAAGTGATTAAAGGGAATATTAGTTTAATAGCATTACTAGTATTAAAAAAAAGATAGTAGAAAAAGGAAGATGGATTGCATGGGACAAACTTTGAGGTCCACATTTAGCTGTGTGTACGAGGGCGGCACTGAAAATTTCGGGAATCAAGGAAGTGACACAACATTACTATTTAAAAATGTATTTATTGCTTTTCGAAGTATTCTCCGCGAAATTTGACACATTTTTCCTTACGATGGAACCAATCATTGAAGCAACCATTCCATTCGGAAGTTGGGGTCTCCAAAATGGCCGTTTTGTAGGCGTCCACAGCTTCTTCAGGTGATGAAAATCTCTGTCCACGCAATTTATTATTTATTTTAGGGAAAGTATAGAAATCATTAGGGCTTAGGTCGGAGCTGTACGGCGGATGGTCTAATAATTCTATGTTTTCTTGCTCTAAAAACTCTTTTGTTCTGTGTGCGGTGTGAGAACTCGCATTGTCGTGATGGAGGATGATACGGCGGTTGCAGTTCTCTTTACGGAGTTCAGAAACAACCTATGGCAAACAAATGCTAGCATACCATTCTGCATTAACCGTTCTTTGTCTCTCAAGAGCAATAGTCGTAACATGGCCGGTTTTGGAGACAAACGTGGCCACCATTTTTTTTGCAAAACTCCGTGAACGAACAATTTTTGTTGGCTTTAACTCATTTTCGAACACCCAAACTCGTGACTGGTTTTTTGTTTCGGGTTCGTACGCGTATATCCAGGATTCGTCACCTGATACGATGTTGTATACAGCATTTGAGGATCCTGCGTGAAATCTTTCGAGAGTTCTGACGCACTAAGTAACGCGAGCCGCTTTTTGCTCTTCACAGTGCGAATGCGGTATCCATCGGGAAAACAACTTTTTTACACCTAATTGTTCATGCAAGATTATTTGTATTTGACTCATGCCAATGTCTAAAGTTGCCTGAATTTCGCGGTATGTCTCATGTCGATCTTCCTCAATCAGCTTACGCACAGCATCAACGTTTTCTTGGGTGACTGCAGTTTTTGGACGACCTTGACGGGGATCATCACTGAGCTTGACACGTCCACGTTAAAATTCAGCAAACCAGCGATAAATTGTGGTTATGGATGGGGCTTCATCACCAAATACAGAGATCATCCGGTCAACACACTGTTTTTGTGTTAAACCACTTTGAAAGTCATAATAAATCATCACTATTGAATTTTCTCGAGTCAATTCCATTTTCTCAACGACTAAACAAGTTTGACAAAACCTTGTGACAAGACCGAGAATCTTTTTTTAAATACATAAATGGTATTCAATTTTAAAAAAACCAAGGACTTTTCAATTAAAAAGATTTTAATATGACAGGAACAGTGGAAATATTCCATTCCCGATACTTTTAGTGCAGCGTATGTATGGATGTGTGTACAAAGGAATGAGCAAAACCTACAATTGATTTGTGTAAACTCCTGTGAACCCCATAATTTTTAAGAAAAAATAAATTGGATACACATTTTAAAGCATTTTAAGATACTTAGTAACAGAAAAAATTATGACCTCATTTGTAGGTTCTAATATAATCTAATAAAATTATTTTTCTGGTGCTTCTCCAGTTTCTGCCGCAACACTCTCCTCTTGCTCAGCTTGCATGTTTGGTCACCAGTAACCTCTTAATGTAGCTCTACCTGCTCTAAATTACCCTGTTTACAATACTCGAAAAGGTTATATAATATAGCTATGTAGCAATACAAATATCAATTAAACACAATATTAAATTATCAATATTTAGATTAAATTATAATGTACATTACAAGTCCACTGCTGAACATAGGTCAATTACAGCCCTTTACAAGTCCACTGCTGAACATAGGTCTCCCACAAGGAATGCCACAAAAAACGGTCCTGAGCCACCTGCATTACTATTCCACAAATTATAAATAAAAAATCATTTTTATTACATTTTATTTGAATTTTTATGATTATTTCTCATTAATAAAAAAAAATTATTGCTTGTATGGAATATTGTAATATATCTTTGATAAAACTCACATTTATTGATTAATCATTCAAAAATCACATTATTTTTGTTTATTAAATATTTGTAGAGACTAAAAATTAATAGTATTTATGTTTTATAAATAATGTAACATAATAACATAAAACATTTATAGATTATTGATATTTTGTAATAATTTAAGAATACTAATAGTAGTAAAAAATTGAAAAATGAATATCTCGGAAATAACACACTTGTGCTATGTAACTACTATGACTATCTATAGTAGCAATAATAATGTCTATAGCACATAGTAGTTTGTGCATCAAATTAATTGTAAGTTTTGCACAGTTGAACCGATGACAACACTGTATGTTTCTTTTAATAAAATGAGTGTGACAAACGAGCACACTGTCTTCCTGACATTAAGTGGACATATTATGTCCCATAGGTGCATCTGCTAACACTAACATGAAATGCCTCATTTCTAGTAAATAGTATCTACTGTTATCTACACTCACTATTTGAAACAGCAGTGTTATGCTGCTATTTTCTTCTTATTTAAAAAAAAATGGCTTAATTGTTTAACAGATGATTATTTGCCAATGTCAACATTGAGAAATACAAGAGAATATAACAAAACAAAAATGACAGTTGGAAAATTAAAAATTTTGCTTAACCAACTTCAATATAAATTATTAAGGATATCTCTAAAACTACTGGTCAGACCTTGATCAAATTTATATGGAACCAGATGAGAAACACCAGCTTTCAAATAAAAAAATAATCATCAAAATCAGTCCACCTAGAAAAAAGTTAGGAGGTAACACACAAAAAAATACAGTTCACTTGAGTACCTCCTCCTTTTTGAAGTCGGTTAAAAAGGATGACTTGAAGTATATTTTGACTACTAGTATTAGAGACGATTTTGAGCATAACCAAGAAGTTGAGATTCTTAAAAAAAATAAACAATACAAGATTAGTTTTCAATTATTTATAATAAATCTTAACACAACTATATTGTGAATACCTATGTTAGTTATAATTTTATGTTATGAATATTCATAGTTTTATATTATTAATTGTTAGAAATTTTGCAAGCACATTAGCATAAGGGGTATTTATTAAGGCTAGTATAATTTAAATTAAAAAACTATGTACAGCCAACTTCAATATAAATTATTAAGGATAATTCAAAAACAATTGGTCAGAATGATGAATTTTATAATATTATATTTTGATGAAATTTATATGGGACCACATGAGAAACACCAGCTTTCAGTTAAAAAAAGAATCATCAAAATCGGTTCACCTCACAGAAATCTAAATAATTATTTAATTAAAATCTAAATAAATATTAATCTAAATAATTATTTAGATTTCTGTGGTTCACCTAGAAAAAAGTAATGGGGTAACACATAGAAAAGAACATACAGTTCAATTGAGTACCTCTTCCTTTTGAAGTCGGTAGAAAAAGGGAATATTTATTGGGCATTGAATATTACAAGGTATTATAGCATATAAAGGGAATAACAAACTGCATTATTTCATTTTTATTTATTTTTTCAAAAAACGTTCAAAGAATATTAAGTGCTCCAAGGTACCCTTAGACTACACTTGCTCAAAGAACTAACTTTTAAACGAATTTTCGCTAAGAAAACAGGTAAGCAAGCATGGCCAAGGTATAGTCTTATTATACAGAAGTTAGCAGTTTACTGAAGTTTCTAGAAAACCACATATTCACAGGTAGACTAGGCTGAATAGAATAAAAGAATTTTCCTTACAACAGTCTGGAAGATTGCCATTTATTATTCCAATTATCCATAATTTTTAGTTTAGCTGCAACACGCAAGTCCCGAGAAAAATTGAATTTATATGCATCTCAGCCATATAGAAACAGAAACTTTTTTATTCAATATAGATTATAAATAATACTTACTGAAGGTCTTTTGTTTAATTACCAGAATTGCAGAATGAGCACGAAACAAGAACTTTTAAAAATAAAATAACTGTTTACAATCATGTATGTTACACAATTAACAGCACAAAAAATTGATGAAAAATTTGTGTTTAGAGTTAAAGGGATTTAATAATATCCTGCAAACAACTTCTGCTACTTCTTTAAACTGGTATTGCATTGCATTGACATGTGTATCAATATGTAAGAGAAATTAAAACAAATGTTTATTAATTACACCTACACTTACATCTTGAATTTTAAATTGAGTCATAACTTACTAAAATAGTAGGTCACTTACATAGGTACAGTCAATGCTTTGTTTTGTACTGACTGGAGTTTGTGTTTGCTTTTGAATTAGTATTTGATTTGTTGGCACGCACTCTGTTTTTTGTTCTATAATTTAAGGTTTGAAATCTATAATTGGCATTTTTTAAATAGTTTAAGAGCCAGTGAGCGAGAGACTGTTCAAGCTACTGGATAAGGATACGGTATTAACATAAATGGCGAGTACATGCCGACGATATAGTCCTTATGGCAAAATCGCTGGAAGACCTAAACACAATGCTCAATGACCTCAATAGTGCCTCCCAACGGATAGTTCTTAAGATAAACATGGACAAAACATAGATTATGTATAACATCCATGTCACAACTATGGCCGTAGTTTTTGGTAGCACTAAGATCGAAATTGTTGACGAGTATGTTTAGCTGGGACAAATAGTCCGACTAGGTAAGTCCAACTTCGACCGAGAGGTCAATCGACGGATTTAACTCGGCTGGGCAGCGGTCGGGACATTACGACACATTTTCTCGTCAGGTCAAAGCATGAAAACGAGATTGTACAACCAGTGCGTGTTGCCAGTGATGGATTATGGATGAGATGTGGTCCTTCACTGCTGGCCGTATGACGAAGCTTAAGGTCGCCCAGCGAGCTATGGAGAGGGCTATGTTCGGGGTTTCTCTGTGTGATAAACTTATAAATGAGGATATCTGCAGTAGAACCAGACAAATCGATATAGCCCAACGGATTAGTAAGCTGAAGTGGCAATCATATAACAGCCATATAACAGGAAGAACCGTCTCCGATAGGGAGGAAAGGTTCTAGAGTGGCAGCCTCATACCGGTAGTAGGCGAAGTGTGGGGCAGTCCCTCACTAGATGGAATAACGACCTGGTAAGACATGTAGGAAGTGCTTTGTGGAATTCCTTGGGGAGGCATATGTTCAGCAGTGGACTTGCGAACGGCTATAATGGTGATGTTGATAATGACTAATACTAAATTTTTAAAATTTAAAGTTGAAAACATGTATTTTGATTAATGTAATAGAAATTTTAATTTAATCTAAAGACTGGATTAGAGCGAGTGCTATAGTACGCGCTTATGGACGCCACTGAAGTTTATTGTGTGCCTGGGTGATAGAACCGCAAAATATGTCTGCTAAGCAAAATATATGTTTTTTTTTTATAGGATACGGTGACAAACGAGCGCACAGTCCACCTGATGGTAAGTGGTTACTGTGACCCATAGATATCTACATCCACCCTCAATAACGACTTAAGATGTAGATATATTGTGAATATGATCAACAACATATATAAATTGCGGCTTTATTGAAATAACGTAAATTATAAAGAAATAATTGTACTTGTCAACCTATCTGCCATGACGTTGGAACCTCCAAAGGTGTCTGCTAATGTTATTTTTCGGTAACTTTTATTGAATATTTTAAGATGTCAAAGTGACAGACTCATTACTTTCACGGTTTTTTCGGTAATTTTTTTACAATTTTTACACCTGAGCGTCTCTATATCAACCACCGGTCAAACTAAAGAGTTCATTTCGTGTACCTCAGGTATAGGGGATTAACTGAAAAAAACGTGAAGCTTATTGAAATACCGTAAGTCTGCCGCTCACTGGTTCTTAGACCATAAGGGCGACACACTGTCATTAAATCTAATAAATTATTTTTGTTACTTTTAGGCCATGCGCAAGGAAAGGGACAGACAAATTGCTGAAGGAAAACTAAAAGGAGATGAAAAATATGTTAGCCCAAGAGTAGACAGTTATTAAATATGTGTGTAGAGAGATTGTGTAAAAATTACTGCAATATATATAGTTCATTATAAACATAAAAATATTTTGTTTTATTTAAGTTATATAGACCTCTATCTGACTACCCTGCAATGGTAACTTATAGAAATATTGTTTTCTCTTTTTTTTCCTTTTTTTTTAATAGAAGAGGGGGCAAACGAGTATGCGGCTCACCCGATAGTAAGTGACTACCGCCACCCATGAACAACCGCAACACCAGAGGAATTGCAGATGCGTTGCCGGCCTTTTAGAAAGGTGTAAGCTCTTTTCTTGAAGGTTCCTAAGTCGTATCGGTCCGGAAAATTCGCTGGTGGTAATTGATTCCACAAGGAAGTTGTGCGAGGGAGAAAACTTATTCTAAATCGCACATTGGTGGACCGCCAATCATCCAGATGGTATGGATAGTAACGCGAGTTTTGTCGCGATGTGCGATGGTGAATTTGAGCAGCTGGAATTAGTCCGAACAATTCCTCAGAGCACTCCCCGTGATAGATGCGATAAAATACGCAAAGAGATGCAACATCTCTACGCAGTGCCAGTGTATCGAGCCGATCAGAAAGAACTCGCTCGTCGACGATTCGAACCGCTCTGCGCTGGATGCGGTCAAGTGGAAGGAGCTGGCACTGGGGTGCCCCGGCCCAGAGATGAGAACAGTATTCCATGTGGGGCCGAACTTGCGCTTTGTAAAGTTGCAAGCGATGTGCCGGCATGAAATACTGTCTCGCTCTGCTGAGCACGCCAAGCTTTTTAGAGGCCAATTTGGCCTTCCCTTCCAAGTGACCACGAAACTGCACACTATTCGATATGTCGACGCCAAGGATTCCGATACTAGCTGAGGCAGCAAGGGAGTGCCTTGAAACTGAGGAGATACGACAAAGGGGTTCTTTTTAGCGGTAAACGCGCAAACTTGTGTCTTCTGGGGATTGAACTGGACTAGATTTCGTCGGCCCCAATCCGAGACTTTGTTAAGCAAAGACTCGACTTCAGACACAAGTTTGTCCCGGTACTCAGCGACGTTTTCCCGAGAAATATTGGCACGGCCGGTATATAAGGCATCACCAGTGCTGTCGTCTGCATAGCAATGAATGCTACTAGTTAGCAACATATCATTGATATGCAGGAGAAACAGCGTTGGTGATAGCACGCAGCCTTGTGGAACACCAGCGTTGATAGGCTTGAAATCAGAGTATGCACCGTCTACTACGGCCTTGATGCTCCGATCAGCAAGGAAACTGGTGATCCATTTGCACAATTTCTCGGGAAGCCCATAGGAAGGAAGCTTCGAAAGAAGCGCTTTGTGCCAGACCCGATCGAAGGCCTTCGCTATGTCCAAACTAACGGCCAATGCCTCCCCCTTGGACTACTGCCTCTGCCCATCTATGAGTCAGATAGACTAGAAGATCACCAGCTGATCGACCTCGACGAAAACCGTACTGGCGGTCACTAATCAGCTGGTGATCCTCAAGGTACTTCATGAGCTGGCAGTTTAAAATGGATTCCATTATTTTGGAGAACAAGGAGGTGATGGCAATAGGCCTGTAGTTGGACGGGTCTGAGCGGTCGCCTTTTTTAGGGATCGGGTGGACCAAAGCTGTCTTCCATGAATTCAGGACTACGCCTTGGGAGTAGGAATATCGGAAAAGACGCGTTAAAACCGGTGCCAACTCCGGAGCACACGTCTTCAGCACAATGGGAGGGACTCCATCGGGCCCACTCGACTTGCTGACGTCCAGGGAGAAGAGTGCTTTGCGAACCGAGCGCTGTGTAAACCGAACATCCGGCATGGAGCACTCACATCGCGGGATGGTCGGCGGTGTGTTCCCCCCGTCATCTAGAGTCGAGTTGGACGCAAAAAGAGAGCTCAACAGATCGGCTTTCTCCTTTGCGGCATGGGCCAGTGAGTCGTCCTCCCTGTGCAGAGATGGAAGAGATGGCTGACAGAAGTTCCCTTGGACAGCCTTGGCGAGAGACCAGAATGCACGGGTTCCCGAAGGAAGGCGAACTAGCTTCTCGTCAATTCTGCCGATGTGCTCAGACCTTGCCTTGGCAATGACGCTTTTGCAGGACCTGGAGGCGGAATTATACTTCTTTTTAAGTGCGCTGGTGTTTACATCCCGAGACGTTGATGCGTCAGCCCAGGCCCGGTAGCACTCCTGCTTATAGCGTGATACTATTTTACAGGAACGACCAAACCATGGCTGGGATCTGCCTCCGATGGGCACCACAGAGGATGGAATAAAAAGTTCCATACCCTGAAGCACCACATCAGCAACAGAATCGGCAACAACGCTGGGATCATCCGGCGAGAAGCAAACCGGCAAGGGTACGATGCAAAAAAAGACCGCATCCCGTCCCAATCAGCTGACCTATAGTGCCAAACACGGCGGCAAGCTGCAGATCGCAACTGCGATTGGAGCGTGAGTGGCACTGTACTCCGGATCAGACAATGGTCCGAAGAGCCCAGAGGGGAATCGACGGAGACCTGATATCCGTCCGGATGAGAGGTCAGTCGAAGGTCCAACAGGAAAGGTACATGGTCTTCCACATCTGGGATCCGCGTAGGCGAAGTAACCAGTTGTGTTAGACCATATGCCAAAGCAAAGTCATAGACAGATCTACCCGCATGATCGGTTAAACGAGAACCAAGCCATTCAGCGTGGTGGGCGTTAAAATCACCGAGTATCACGATCTCTGCGGATGGGACCTGTTGTAGCACGGAGTCTGCAGCCATTTGGACGTGGTCGATGAGTCGGTCTGTGTCGGCATTACCGCTATGGGATCTATAGAGGCACCCGTAGACGCGGGGATGGTCGTCGCTGTCTACGCGCAGCCGTAGGATGGACAGGTCCGTACCTTCAAGACTGCCGAGGCGTCGAAAACAGATGTCCTCTCTGACGTATACGCAAACTCCAGCCCGGGGCACAAAGGAGTGTTCCAATTTGTACCCCGGGTAGGAGAGATATGAAGTATCAGTCGGAGAGGACACCTGAGTCTCGGTTAAAAAGAGCAAGGCCGGCTTCGCCGTCTCTAGATGGTAATGGACAGCGTTAAGGTTGGAATGAATTCCCCTGATGTTACAAGAATTCACGGATATCGTGACAGGGGTCGCCTTGGTTGTATTGCTCCGCTTGCCCCGAGCAGCATTAGTCGCGAGCGGACTTTTGCCCCCCCCCCCCCCCCCCAAATACGCAGGGCAGCCTGAGCACCCACGCTCAGGAGTGAAGTAGTTTGGTCGTGGATGCTCAGCGAGGGATTCTCCAGGGGTAGAATTCCCTTAGCCAACCAAGAGCATTTTATCATATAGCTGCTACAACAATGTGATTATGTGATGTATTAATCCATCCAAGCTTTTCAAGGAGTCTTAGCAACATTGCGATCCCTATCTCAAGTTAAGGTAGTCCCTGTATCTAGGGATTGCAATACATGCGCTATCGTTTACCAAAACGAGTTTTACTATGAGTAGGTGGTAGGAACCATTTTATGGCTCAAGTCCTTTTAGATACCACCTTCTTACCTATTTTTATCGCCAATTACAGTATTCCAGTCCGAAGAGTTTAATTACAGGCTGTGAAGCATTCCATCTTAGTTTCCAGAGGTAACAACGCATGGTAGCCATCTTTGTTCAAAGTAGGTTGCAGGTGTAGGTACATGCTCTTACCGTCAGGTGGGCTGTAGGTTCATTTATCACTTCAGTATTTATAAAAAAAAAGCTTTACATCTCTGTATAATATTTGCTGACTGCCTATGATACCTGTAGCTATGCCTAATATTCGGCCAGGAATTAGTATTCGGTATTCGGCGTGTGGCTGAATATACTATACATTGCAAGTAATTTTTTACACAATTACAACTTACTACTTCAGTGTCCAGAATGACAACTTTTTTTATATAGGATTCGGCAGGATACGGTGACAAACGAGCACACAGTCCACCTGATGAAACAGAACAGAAACAGAAAGTTTTTTATTCAATATAGATTATAAATAATACTTATTGAAAGTCACTCTTTTGTATAATTACCACTGGTTCGAAAAAAAACCTCAGTCCTGGAAAGAACCAGCAAGAAACCCAGCGGGACTTCTTTTTTTAAATAACAGCTTACAATCATGTATGTTACACAAATTAACAACACAACAAATTAGAAATAGCTTGGTAGCGATCACCTCATTTCCAGGGGTTATTATCATCTATAAATTCTTTAATATTATAATAACCAGGTCAAATTTTGTATAATTTCTGGAATTTTGTTGTAAAAGCGTATACATCGCCCCAAGAATGAATTACTGACTCGATGGAGTCGAGTAACTGGTACTACTAGCTTGTATTTGTTCCTAGTATTTACAAAATGAATATCACTTATTTTTGTAAAACTACTTTTATTTTTGTGTACGTACATTACATTTTCATAAATGTATTGAGAGGCCAAAGTTAATATATTAATTTCCTTAAACTTTTGTCGCAGCGACTCTTTAGGCTTTAAATCATAAATTGCTCTTATGGTCCTCCTCTGTAAAACAAATATAATTTCAGTGTCAGCTGCGTGTCCCGATAGCAAAATACCATACGACACTATTCTATGGAAATAGCTAAAGTAAACTAGTCTAGCTGTTTCAACACTAGTTAGACTTCTAATCTTTTTTACGGCATATGCTGCAGAACTAAGTCTGCTTGCTAGTTTTGATATATGGGGGCTCCATTGAAGCTTCGCGTCTAGTGTGATTCCAAGAAAAATGGTGGTATCTACAAGACTCAGTTTCTCCCCATTTAAAATTACATTAGTATTTAATTGTTTGACATTTGGAGTCATAATTTTCATACATTTCGTTTTAGTACCATTTAAATGCAAATTATTAACATTGAACCAATTTACTAATTTAGATATAGCATTATTTACTTCGTCATATTTTAGCAATTGTCGACTTAATTTGAAAATTAAAGAAGTGTCATCTGCAAATAATACTATATCATGATTATCTCGT